CGAACGATTTCCATTTATCAATTTTGATGATGTTTTGCTTGGATCATGCGGTACTTTTTGATTTTTGCCAATTTGATTTAATGCTAAATAATAGTAACAATTATAATAATATTGTTAACTACGTAATGAAAAGCAGAAGTCAACAAGCGAAATTCACCGGTTTGGACGCTAATGGAGTAAAAACTTGCACTAAACACAGCTTTCTTTTTTATTCTTTCTTGAGTTGCGTATTTCCAGTCAGTAATTTCGGCCTTCATTAAAGTGCCATCTCTTCGGGTCTGCTCAGGCAATCGTTTAGTCTTCGCAAGTACCACTCACTAATACGCAGCTGCACCAGGACATGTTATCACTGTAGACAGATTTTAAGGAAACCTGCTCGCTGTGACATCCTGCCCCCCACTAATCTGATGGAGAATCTGATTACTTTGTGTGCATCTTTTTTCATCACAGGTGCTCTTTCCGTCACATCCAGCGTTTGATCTTCTGCTTTTGTCATTGAACCGCTAAACAGTGTGTTAAAAATTGTCTTTCTTTTCACCGTTTATACCTTTTGATTCTTTGAATAATAATAGAAGTTCGGATTCCTCAGCATCTCCTTGATTTATAGGCTTGGAAAATGAAGGTACAATCGATGCTTGGCAGCTGCTTTCTGCCATACGTGAGAAAAATCTCACCTTGGGTGTCCAGTATATCAAAGGTGAAGTAGAAGGTGTATTTTTTGATTTTTTTATCCTTCTGATTGTAAAAAAATTTAAAAAATTCATCAGCCTAATGTACATTTTTCAATATTACCATTGATGAGAATGCTCACTTTTGAAAGCAATTTTTTTCTTAAAGCTTGGCTACTTTTTTCCTGTTTTTTAATCAGAAAAATATTTATACTAAAAAAAATTAACACGAATGCATATGCCATAAACTAGACGGTTAGATATGTCTGAGGTGTCTTTTTTTTGAAATTTTTTTGATTTCAACACTTTTTATGCATTTTCAACAAAAACATATTTGTCATTTCTACAACATATTTGGCTCTTTCATGTGTTTTTCGTTTTGACAGCC